TTCTCAGTTCGCCACAGTCCCCACCATCCTCTATTACCCCTGACATTAACACTGCCTGTCATCATTCTTCTGTCACCGTTTCTCTTTTAGTAGAAATAAGAGGAAAGCGAACACATTCTCTTGAGACAAAGACTGTTACTTGCCACCCAGATGTCCAGTCTCCCCTTCTTTCTTACTAACAGAAACTCCTACACTATGACGGGCGATGGACGGTATATTCAAAAATCACATTGCCCAGCTTCTCTGGACTCCATGAGTGTCCTAATTTCTCTCTCTCTCTCTTTTTTAGAGTTAGCTAGGTTTATTTTGTTTAATGTGAAATTTATTGTCAAATTGGTTTCTGTGCAACACCCAGGGCTCATCCCAACAGGTGCCCTCCTCCATGCCCATCGCCCACCCTCCCCTCCCTCCCACCCTCCCCTCTCTCCCACCCCCCATCAACCACGCCCTAATGTTTCTCAATCAGGGATGATTTTTAGTTCACAACTGGGGAGGGGGAGACTACTGACATCTAGTGGGTAGAGGCAGGGATGCTGCTGAACAGTCCGACATGACACGTCCCTAGTGCTGCAGTGGAGTGGCCAGTGTGTTGTAAATTAAGCTGATGCTGGGGCTTCCAAGAAAGGCCTTTGGCGTCTTGCCATCCTCCTCCATTTTCCCTACGACGCAAACGTGGCTGGAACTCAAGTAGCCGTTTTGTGACCTCAAGGAGGGGAGCCCCGACGACATCACGGGGCTTCCACACCTGCCAGGATGCTCACCTCCAGCCTGGTTCTATGTGAAAGAAATGCATCTCTAATTTGTTTAAGTCACTGGAGTCAAGTCTCTGTTACTGTCAGCCAAGGGCGGAATCTACATGATGTAGCTCTGTGCCTGATTCTCTATGCTAGCGAGGCGAGGAAAGATAGACAAGGGGCCGAATGTTTACAATAAAAAAAGGGGAGGGGCGCCTGGGTGGCTGTCGGTTGGGTGTCTGACTTCGGCTCAGGTCATGATCCCACGGCTGGCGGGTTCGAGCCCCGTGCCGGGCTCTGTGCTGATAGTGTGGAGCCTGCTTTGGATTCTGTGTCTCCCGCTCTCTCTGCCCCTCCCCCACTCATGCTCCCTCCCTCTCTCTCTCTCTCTCTCTCTCTCAAAAATAAATAAACACTTTTTTACAGTTAAAATAAAAAAAGGAGGAAGCATTTTTCTCTGTGGCAATGACCCAGCCCACTTCCCTCGCTGACGTCACTTTTTGGCCCCCACAGCATTCGGGTTTGCAGCGCCTCGATGGGTCCGGCCCTTCACCAAAAATATGAGGAACAGAGACCCTTAGCAAGTTTCTGGTGACCTGAGGGCTAAGCCACAACCTGGTCCTTCTCCCCTCACGTTTCTAAGAAAGCAAGTCTCAGGCAGTGGTGAAGCATGTGGTTTCCAGAGGGGCGCCTGGGTGGCTCAGGTGGTTGAGCATCCGACTCTTGACTTCAGCCTGTTACGTCCTGCACTGACCACATGGAGCCTGTTTTGGATTCTTTCTCATTCTCTCTGTCCCTCCCCTGCTTGTGCGCTCTCTCTCTCTCTCAATACATAAATAAACTTGAAAAAGCAAAAGGAAAAAGAAGGTGGTTGCCAGAGCCACGCTGCCTTGGTTCAAATGCTGGTGTCACCATTGAGTGGCTCTGTGACCTAGCTCACTTCAACTCTCTGTCCCTCAGTGTCTCATCTGGAACATCAGGATGATGATAAAGGCATCTACTGCTTGGGATTGTTAAGAGAACTCACATCAGCCAGGGTCCCGGCAGGAGCAGAATTGTAAGAATAAACTGTAAATGAAGGTGTGGATGGGGTGTAGGGAACCCGCAGGGACACTGCAACACCCCAAGGCTAATAACAGAGGGCATGTTACCACCAGGTAGTAACTGGGGGGGGGGGGAGGGGGGGCTCCAACCCCTAGATAGAAACGGTGGAGTTGTTATCACTTAGGCCTGAAGGGCCAGATCTGGAGAGAAGGAGCCCTATGGAGAGGGAGTCTGAAGGACTTGTGACCTTCAGTTGAGGGACACAGGAGCCCCTGGTGACCCAACGGGACAGCTGGGCAATAAATACCCAGACCTTCTCTGCTTCCTTCTTCCTATCTCTTGCCAATGTCTCTCATTGGTCAAACCCAATCAGAAGCCAGCAGGCATGAGAGCCCGTTGGTGTTGTCCACACAGGTCACTGAATGGAGTGCACAGAGGAGGAGGCTGGAGACCAGGGCTTTGCATCCCCTACTGTGTGACCGCAAGCTTCTGGGTTGTGCAGTTGTAGGGAACAGAAATGGCCTCTCCCTCTCCTTGTCTCACTCGTAGGAAGGGATACGGATTTGATGGCGGGAGCTCAGGCAGCCCTTTTAGACCTCAGAGTGGAAGTCACGTGTCGAGGGTGCTGAACAAGATAGTAAGAATCTGAAACCCTCACCAGGTAGAACCACTGTGGCCTACCGGACACTGACCCCTGGACTGTTTCACGAGAGAAAGTTAAACTTTCATTTTGTTCAAGCCAGTCATTTCGGCTTTTATTACAGCAGCTGACCTGATATCCTTAGTAGTACAAGACTGAAATCAGGGATTTGCTCAGCTTTTGGAACTATTTTAGGCTGAGCTTTTTAAATTTTTTTTTCAACGTTTTTATTTATTTGTGGGACAGAGAGAGACAGAGCATGAACGGGGGAGGGGCAGAGAGAGAGGGAGACACAGAATCGGAAACAGGCTCCAGGCTCTGAGCCATCAGCCCAGAGCCTGACGCGGGGCTCGAACCCACGGACCGCGAGATCGTGACCTGGCTGAAGTCGGACGCTTAACCGACTGCGCCACCCAGGCGCCCCTAGGCTGAGCTTTTTAAAACAAGAAGTGACTGGAAAGTTACCGACTCTGCTCAAAAGTACCATGAAGGAATCCGTTCTCCAGGGAAATGCAAAATAATACAGTAGGGGGCAGTGTTTGGTGAAGAAAAAAAAAAAAGGACATCAAAAACTCCTTTGGAACTGAGATGGTCAGTAAGTCAAGCTCATTTGCCAGGGTCCCAACCACTCCAAGCTCCCTGGAGATAGCTCCCTCCCGCCAGCTACCAACCAAACCCTGAGATGAAATCAGCTTGCACCGATGTATTGCGGGCGTCCCTGAACCCATCGTGATGGCCATTGGACTTCAACTGCTCTGATTGGCTGGTGCTAGGTCACGTGCTCTGTGGGCGAGGGGTGTAGCAGGAGCCTCCGGGACAGGGAGCCCTCAAGGCCTGGGTAGTTGGGCTCCGGGATGGCAGGGAGCTTGGCCCAGAAGGGACCGCGGTGGATGCAGGAGAGTCCCAAGTAGCCAACATCGTTTATACTCACCTGTAGAAAAGAAGGAAAATCTAGAAAATGACCTAAAGTGTCATGGTGGCGGGAACAGTTGCTGTGGGATTTCCCATCAGCCGCTCTGCAAGATTTGGTTTTGGCAAATGAGGGTATTGAGCCAGACTGGCTAGAGACCCAAGGGGCATTTCCAAAGCTGCAAACAGAGTATCCCCCGTGTTTCCGTAATTTCCTGAAACTCAACAAAGGAGTTCAAGGGAAATACAGGAGGCGATCATGTACCCAAGGGGAGGGTGTGAGGCTTGTTAATGCCATGGGTAGAAAGAGGGCTCTCCACCCAGTGAATGAGCCACTAGCTTCGGCTCCAAAGGCAGTTCCTACAGGAGTGCTGTTTCCTTGAAAAACGGCATGTTCCGCCCTGTTCTTTGGGGAGATTTAAAGCAAGACTGCGATCGGATCCCATAGGTATCTTAGTCTGGAAACCCCCAGAAGCCGAGCTTGTGTCTTCCTTGTGGTTTCCCCGGAGGAACCCTCCGCGACAAAGATTCAAGGACAAGTAATTTACTTGGAAGGCGAAAGATACACCAACAGGGAAGAGGAAAGTGAGCCAGGGAAGGGAGGGCAAAGGAAGTCGAGCAAGTTATCAAGACAGTTACTCCTGTGGGCAGCTGAAGTCTAATCCTGCCAGTGTAGAACATGTGCCTAGGAGTTACCGTGCCTGAGGGAGCAGGGCACCGGGATATCCACACAGCACCTCCTTCCAGGCGCTGGTTGATGGCTGGCTGCTGGGGGCTGGGGGAGGGAGTACGAATTCTCCAGCACTTCTAGCCCGCTCGACTCCAACAATGGGGGGAGGGTGGGTGTGCAAACTCACGCCGCGAAAGAATGCAGATGCTAGCAACTGGAAGGTGGCACATGGAGCTGGGCAAATGGTAAGACCCAGGGCGTACAGATGGTAACTGCTGGTCCCGAGATGCAAGTTTCAGGAGACAATCTCAGGGAGTGGGAAAGGGAGATGGGGAAGGGAGGACCGCCAGGAAAGGGCATGTCAGTGAGCTGGTTCCCTTCCTGGGCACCTGGGGCCCAAATCCCGGGGGGGACCTTTGGGAGACGATGTGGAGCGTCCTTCAGAATTGTCTAGCGCAGCAGCAAGGAAGCCGGGACTCTTAGGAACAGCGCCCGTCTCTCCACGGTGGAAGGTTGTGGCTAGCGTCATCACCTCTCAGGCGCTTCTCCCGTGACCTGCTGTGTGCACGCCAAGCACACAGGCCCTAGTCAGGGAAGCCGATGCTGGAGGTTGGAAACCATAAGCAACAAGCTGCAGGCAGTCCCCCACGGTGGAGGGGTCAACGGGCGCCAATGCTTGGCCAGGAAACACAAGACGAGGGGCGAAAAGGCACAAAACCAACATGGACAAAGTGCAGAACACTTGACATCCCTTAGCGCACTTAGGCGTGTTTTTATAATTCCCATTTTACGGATGAGAAAACGGGGTCAGACAGGTGGTGGGACTTGCTCTCGGTGGCCTGGCGGTTAAGGGGCAGCCCGGGAACTCCAGCTTCAGGTGTACCTGTGGCCCACCCAAACCCCAAGCAGAGTTCATCTTTCCAAATTTTTTTTTAATGTTTGTTTATTTTTGAGACAGAGAGGCAGAGCACGAGCGGGGGAGGGACACAGAGAGAGAGGGAGACACAGAATCCGATGTGGGGCACGAATCCACAAACCGCTAGATCATGACCTGAGCCGAAGTCAGATGCCCAAGCGACTGAGCCACCCAGGTGCCCCGAAGTTCATCTTTTCAAATGAGATACTTCGGTGCTGATAACAATAAAGACGAATGAGTCAATGACCCTTGCAATTTCAAAACTGCAGTTTTCGTATTATGGCTCATGGGGACTTTCTCAGTGTTGGCACTGGAACAACTAAAAGAAATATAAATCGTAGACTCATGGTATTTGTGAGCATAACCATAAATGGCAAGGTCAGCATATGTCCCTGGCTCTGCCATTTAATAGCTGTGTGGCCTGAGGAAGTCCCTTCACCCCGCTGAGTACCAGCTTCCTCAATTCTAAAATGGTAGTAAGACCTGCCTCATAGGGTTGTTGGGAGAATTCCGAAAGATTCTGTTGTGTAAGATGCTCAGGGCGCGATATGGTAGCTTCCTGTGGCTGCTGTAACAGATTAGCACAGATTTAGTGGCTTAAAACAACAGAGTTATGATCTTATACTTCTGGATGTCGGAAGTCCAAAAAATGGGTCTTAAGGAGCTCAAGTCCAGGTGTTGGCAGATCTGCATTCCTTCTAGAGGCTCTCGGGGGGAATCCGTTCCCTTGCCTTTTCCAGCCTCTACAGACCAGCTTGGCTCACGGCACACCCTCCGTCCTCAAAGCCAACGGCATGGTGTCTTCTGATCGAATATTTGTGAACATTAAAATAGAAAAATCTTAATTATATGTGTATTTATTTTATATTTAGGTAGATTATGTATTGTTTTGGTGGTCAACTGATGCAGGGCAGACCACCCCAAAACTCAGTGGCTTAAAAACAATTAATGATCACTCACAGTTCTGTGGGTTGACGAGGCTCAGCTGAGCGGTTCTCACTTGGGGTCTCTCATCCAGTTGCAGACTGATGGAAACCAGGGCCCATGCTACCTTGACTTGGATGGGACGTCCAAGGTGGCGTCTCAGTGCTCTCTCACTGGAGTAGCCTGGACTTCATCCACGGTGGCTCAGGGCTACATGAGACAGGAAGCCCAGAAATGGCCCAGCATCAACTCTACTGTGTTTGATTGGTCCAAACAGACACAAGGTTGTGGCCAGTCCAGATTCAGGGGGGTGGAAAACTAGACCCCACGTCTCAAGGGAAGAATTGATGGCAGCCATCTTTGAAGGCAAGTTAATGTCTGTTTTACTCTTCCTCAACCCACCCCTCCCCCATACCATCCCAGGAGGTTACATGCTATCCCCCTTCCCCCTATCATTCTGGGGTGTCTCCCTCTTCGCCTTTGAGGGGAATACCACTGAGGAAGTGCACCGCAGTTTTGTGGGTTTCCAGACAAGACATGAAACTTGACCCCTCCAGCAGCATCAAGAGTCAAGTACTCTTTGAGAAATTGAAGTGGGCTTTTTCGCTTTGTTTTGCTTGTTTAGTATCCCTTCCCACTTCCTGTCCCAGGATCCCAATCTTCCTGTGGGGGAACTCTTGGGGGGGGGGGTTTCACTCTTTTTGCCTCTGAATGGGCAAATGACCTGGACCACCAAAAAAAAAAAAAAAAAAAAAAAAAACCTCTCTGAAATTTTCATCTCAAATGGAGTGACAAAAAAATTCTGAAAAAAGTTTGCAATGGACACTGTAGGTGACTCCCCACCAATTATTGTACCCCAGGTGCAGAGAGGGCCCGATTAGTCTATCTAGAGGTTCCCCAACCTCTGTACCGTTGACATTTGGAACAGATCATTTTCTGTAGTGTGTGAAGAAGGGGAGGGGCTGTTCCGGGCCTTGTAGGATATCCGTCTGCCTGACTTCCCTGACTTCCCTGACTTCCACCCCTGAGAGGCCACTAACACAGCCCAAAAATGTCTCTCCACATTGCCAAATGTCCTCTGGGGGGCCAAGAGTCACCCGCTGTGTCTCTTGCCGATGACTGATTCAGGGGTGAACAGTCCCAAGCCAGCTGGGCCACTGAGACACCTGGATAGTTTTCCTGGGCATTTCTGGCCGCAATCCTCACTTACTCTTAAGAGCGAGCCAGGGAAGCCATTTTCTCTCTTTCTTCCTTTATTGGATGTTAATCACGTTACAGCCTGATTACCACTGGCAGCCATTTTGCAGGCACGAGGGAACAAGCTTTCAAAGGAAGTTAATATGTGGATGGTAGAGGGAAGAAAGAAGGAGAACCTGGGTTCTCAAGTACATTCTTAAACCTCTGAGTCAACCAGCCCCAGAATTGCCCTACCTACCAACTTCCTTTCTGCGTGAGCCAGTTTGAGTTGAGTTTTCTGTTACTTGCAGCCAAAACGTCCTAAGTGACACATCCTCAGAGAAGAGAGTACTAGCCAGTTTATGCAACCAACCCCCCCAGCCCCCACCCCTCTCCCCGCCCAGGGCATCCTCTTTCCAATCCTTTCCAAACTTGCTTCGGGAGCTTTCCCTCCAGAAAGTTCTTTCTCTCTTTCCATTGCTACAAAGTGCCTTGCGTCCTTCTAGCAAGTTCCTCTTCTGTTCCTGTTGGCCAGAACCAATTTCGTGAGTTGTAGTGGGAGAATTCTATTACCTCAGTTGACTAATTTCAGCCCCAACCCGCCCCCCTCCCACCATTCCCGGCCACCATAACACCACCACAGAGCTACCTTGGAACCCGTTTGCTGAGTGTGACTGACTCACCTCGTAATTCACACATTTCTTGAGACCTCAGAAAGACTGAGCCTCATGTGATCAGGTTGATGGGCAAATCAACACAGAAAACAGTCTGGTAAGTTCTAAAGACAGCACCACACAGCAGGGTTCGTGCCAAAGGCAGCCCGGTGAAGTCACCCCAGAGCATCCGGAAGACTGCTAGATCCAGCAGGGGCTGAGAACCGGGTCAAAGGGCAAAGAGAAGGGCAGGATTCCATGGTCAGAGAGAGTCCCTGGCTCCACCATCAGCCCCGTCTGTGGAAGGAGCTGCTTCGCCCTCAGACCTTCAGCTGCCTCGTCTGTCAAATGAGCATTATTGTATTAGCTTGTCAGGGTCGATGTGCACGTTCACTGAGATGACACATGTCAGACCGGTTTAGTGATGTGTCCCGACTCGTTGAGGTGCAACTATGAAATTGTTTTCTTTTTATGATAACTACTACCCAGTATTCTAGCATTGGCAGTAGAGACCGGAGTAGAGCTAGCAGCAGGCTCTCACAGAGCGCCCCCTAGGCACCAGGCACTTCCTTTCTGCGTGAGCCACTTTGAGTTGAGTTTTCGGTTACCTGCAGCCCAAACACCCTAAGTGACACATCCCCAGAGAGGAGAACACTCAAAATGACCTTAGGGGGTAGGGACCCACGTTATTCCCATTTTATATGAAGAGACACAAGAAGGTAGGTAATTCGCCCCAAATCGTGCAGCTCTCTTGGGTTGGGTTTCCTTAACCTACCTTTCTGCAATTCCATGACTTGTCAGGCTCTGGTGGTTCAATTCAGCTTTTAAAGCTCAAAACGCCTCAGGGCACCTGGGTGTCTCCATTGGTTCCGCATCTGACTCTCGATTTCGACTCAGGTCACGATCTCACAGTTCGTGAGTTCAAGCCCTGCATTGGGCTCTGTGCTGATGGCATGGAGCCTGCTTGGGAGTCTCTCTCTCTCTCTCTCTCTCTCTCTCTCTCTCTGTCTCTGTCTCTCTCTCTCTCTCTCTGCCCCTCCCTGCTTGTGGTCGTTCCCCCCCCTCTCAAAAGGAATAAACTTAAAAAAAATCAAAATGCCTCAAATTAAACTAGTAGTCTCCACCACTGAGCCACAACTACCCCCAACACAGATGAATCTCATGGCCGTGATGTTGTGCGAAAGAAGGCAGAAATGAAAGTGTGCACGCTGCATGATTCCATTCACGTAAAGTTCGAAACCAGACAAAATGACTCCACGGTGTTAGATGTCAGGATCATAGTCGTCCTTGAGCAGGGGAAGGGATGGGAAGGGGTGCAAGGTGGCTTTCTAGGGGGTCTGGTAGAGTTCTGTATCTTAGTCTGGACACTGGGTATAGGAGCATATTCAGTTGGGGGAAATTCTTTCAGCTGTGTACTTACAACGTATTTCTTCTTCTGCGTATGCGTTCTGTTTCAACAAGGGGCACTTGAAATAATTTCAATCTCAGATTCAATTCAGAGTCCTTTCACACCCTCCTTCCCTTCCATCGCTCAGTTCGAGCTAGACTCACAGCTCTAGGGACTTGGAACCGGGGGCCAGGTAGGAATGGGATGGGATATGCCATTTCACTGAAATGGCTGTACAGCGAGCCCTGAAGAAAGGCGGCTGGATGACCTCTGAACTTAGCCGAGTGATTCAGAGGGCCAGAGGGCTCCTAACATCACTTTGTTGTATACGAGAAGAGCCTGGCACAAAGCAGATATAATTGGGGACCCTAGATGGAAACCCAATATTTGTAACATCTTGAGGACTAGAGGCTGGGATGCAGTGCTATTTTAAAGAGGCTAGAGGTTCGTGGAGTCAGAGTTGGTCAAAGAGGTCGCTTCTGTTTGAAACCTGTCTGTTAGACAAAAGGAAAAGTCTAAGTGTTCTCTCTTAGGCTGAGTTCCTCTAAAAGCCAACTCCGAGGCAAGGATTTGAACGCAGGTACCTTATTTAAGAGGTGATCTCCGAGGGCACCAGTTCAGGAGTAGGGAAATGAGATGGGGAAGGGAAGGGACATTCATGAGCAGATCTGCCACTGTGGGCAAGCGGGGTTCCCTCCCCTGGGGGGACCGCTGGGAGAGTTTGCAGAACCCGCCTCTGAGTGGCCCCACCTGAGGAACAAGAGGCTGGGGCACTTCTTCACCGACTTCCACTGGTCACTGGTTGAGGGCTGTCTCTGGAGACACGAGCTCCCCAGCACTCCCGGCCAGACCCTGAGGGGAGCCGAGCCCGCTCGGAGAAAGCTTCCAGCCAAGGAGCTGCAGGCACGCACACGGTGCGCCATGGACGTGCGGGCAGGTCGTCAGCACCACCGCTGACCACCTACCCCCAGACCTCTTCTGCGGAGAAAACAAATGCTGACCGGCTTAAGCATGAGTCAGACCGGGTGTTCCTTGCGGCCAAAAGCATCCCACACCGGTACGTGAAGGGCAGGGGGGAGCTGGAGAGGAGACTGAAGCAATGGTTTAGAGCCAAGAAGAGGCAGCGGCAGCCAGAGTTCGAGGACATTGTATTTGGATTTCTAGAAAGCACCATGGAGCAAGGTGACTTGGTTTCCAGCTGCCTCATAAGATGGGAAGTAGGCCACACTGACTGGTTCTTTTTTTTTTAATTTTTTAATGTTTATTTTTTGAGAGAGAAAGAAAGAGAGCAAGGGAGAGGCAGAGAGAGAGACACGCACAGAATCCGAAGCAGGTTCCAGGCTCTGAGCTGTCAGCACAGAGCCTGACGCGGGGCTTGAACCCATGAACCGTGAGATCATGACCTGAGCTGAAGTCGGACGCTTAACCAACTGAGCCACCACACTTGATTGGTTCTTCAAGGGAGGAATGACCCCCTCTCAAGGGTGAAGAACTTGGAAACAGTTAAGTTTGATAGAGAAGAAGAGAAAGTGTCAGAGACCTGGAGAGAGACAGAGAGAGACAGTGGAAGAGAGGAGAGGGGCTGAGGTGGGGAAGATGGAGGGTAGAGAGGAAGAGGCGGAGAACTCAAGCCACATGAAGACGCACACACTAAAACATTCACAGTGAGCCTCATAAGCGCTGAGACAGAGAAGTGTTCTGTCCTTCCCATGCGCTTTCCAAGACTTGTTCATTAAATGTGTATTACTTTTGTGATTAGAGAAAGAACTGAGAAAAAAGAAAAGAAAAGGAAAGGAAAGGAAAGGAAAGGAAAGGAAAGGAAAGGAAAGGAAAGGAAAGAAAAAAGAAAAGAAAAGAAAAGAAAAGAAAAGAAAAGAAAAGAAAAGAAAAGAAAAAGAATTGAGAAAGAGAAATACAACCCTGAGTGGAGAGCGAATGCCCGCTCTGGATTGCTTCTGTCCTTACTTCCATGTTTCTGGAAGTGACTTAACTTCTCTCCCCCCTCTCTTTTTTCCCTTTTTTGAGAAGACCTGGGTCAGAGCCACCTCAGTGCTGAATCAGAGCTGAGGCTGACCGTGGGTGGGTTAAAGGGATTTTAAGGAGAGGATTAGAAGCTGCTTTGCAAGGAGAGTTGGATTAACTTTTTCTTCCTGGCTCTGTTTCTGCAAGAACTGGCTTGTCCCAGAGTAGCGTAGGAGGACAGTGGGGAGGGAGATCAGCTCTGCTCAGGGAGGTGATAACATTGGGTTTAGATGATTCATTCTTTCATGTATTCATTCAACAAGCATTCGGGGAGCACCTCCTCTTGCCCAGGTCCTGAGCCACCCTGGAGATGTGCCAGGGTGAATACCAGACAGTCCATACCTGTGAGGGGCTCCTAGTCAGCTGAGAGGGACACTTGGGGGCCTGATAGGACCAATACGAGAGGATCGATCCATTCCAAAATAGAAGTTTGCACGAAGGCTGAGGTTCTGCTTTTACTCCACCCCGATACAGATCTCACTCCCGAAATGAAGAAGTAAGGAATGGAGGGAGGTTCTTATGTAGGACAGTGGTGACAAGTTGACACAGGTGGTTTCCAAGAGATCTTGACTTCCAAAAGAAACTGGTGCTCCGGAGAAGGAATGCGGTAAAACTTAAGACCCATAGGGCTGGAGGAAGGTGGAGACAGAAGACAAAGGCAGTGGATCAGTTAGCGTGTTTTAGGCTGCGAGTAACAAAAAAGCCAACCCCGAGTGGCTTTAACAACAAAAACACGTATGGCCTTTACAAAGGGCCATACGTTGGGTTCAAGAACCCACCGGGGTTGCCAAGGATTCGGGTGCTGACTATCTCTGTGCTCCTCCAGCCTTAGCCTGGCAGAGGCACACTTCGTCTCATGTGTCTCTCTTACAAGAGGGAGAAATCGTTCCATGGGAACGATGGGTAGGTAGGCAACCAAAAGTTTCTGCCACAGCCCAGGTGAGGCCAGTGAACTTCAGAGCATTAACATTGGTTGGGCGCTGTTTATGACTCCAGCTATCCCCCAGAGTTCCAGCGTCCCCTTTAGTGTCTAACTAACAATAGGACCCCGTGACTATAGGAAGACCACACTTTTATCAGGTTCTTTCTCAGAGCCTCTGGCGGGATGTTCACAGGTCTCACCGGCCATCCTTGGCACTGCTTGGCAATCACAGTGAGCCACCTCTCTCGGGACTTCTACGGCCCCATCTGCCATGTTTTAGCTGGCACCATCCCGACCCAGCGGCAGCACCCAGCTCTCTTCCCTAGCAGACCCCAAGATCATGCCTGGGTTAATTAGAATATAGGTTCAACTACTATAACTGAGACCACCACTAACAGTGGCTTAAACAAAGCAGTTCATTTCTAACAATCAGAACGATGAGGGGGCGCCTGGGTGGTTCCGTTGGTTAAGCATCCGACTTCTGCTCAGGTCATGATCTCGTGGTTCATGAGTTCGAGCCCCGCGTTGGGCTCTGGGCCGGCAGCTCAGAGCCTAGAGCCTGCTTTGGATTCTGTCTCCCTCTCTTTCTGCCCCTCTCCCACTCACCTCTCTCTCTCTCAAAAATAAATATAAAACTTTGTTTTAAAAAAAGAATGACGCTTGTAAGCAACCAGGATAACCAGACCCATACGTATCAATCGAATATCAGCTCTTTTTTTTATGTCTCTCTCATGTGACAATCTGTGTGTGATCAGTCTGGGGATGATAGGGCAGCACCACTGAGTCAGGGTCCAGGCTTCTTCTACCTCGTTCTCTTCTTTCCCTTGCATTGTTGCCCTGGAATGCCCACTACATCCACATTCCAGGCAGCAAGATGGAGGCCAAATGTGAGAGAAAGAACTTCCCCTGCCACCCACCCCCAGGACCTCCTGAGTGTGATTTAGAAGTGAATCACAACAGGGGCGCCTGGGTGGCTCAGTTGGTTAAGCATCTGACTTTAGCTCAGATCATGATCTCGTGGTTTGTGAGTTCGAGCCCTGTGTCAGGCTCTGTGCCGACAGCTCAGATCCTGGAGTCTGCTTGGGATTCTGTGTCTCCCTCTCTCACTCTACCCCTCACCCACTCACATTCTGCGTTTCTCTCTAAAATAAG